TTTGCATATATATATATATATATATATATAGTGTTCTGTGTGGGTTTCAACAAATTTCAACAGATTTCAACGATATTTCACTGATTTTTCAATTCGGTATTTTGGCGTCAGTCATTGCAAAAATTATGGTTGTGCGAGTGGTGTTTGTGCTGACGGCGTGTGATTGCTCGTTAGGTGTTGTGATTTTCGAGGTGTGCATGTGTTTTTGTGTTTGATGGCGTGTGTTTGCTCGTTCTGTGTTGTGTGTTTCGTAGTTTGACTGTTTGATCATGTGTGTCCATGCGTTTGGTGTGTGTGTGTGTGTGCGTGTGCGTGTGCGTGTGCGTGTGTGTGTGTGTGTGTGTGTGTGTGTGTGTGTGTGTGTGTGTGATTGCTCTCGTTGGACGTGAACACCTCGCTCATTGCTGGAACTGTACGGCACACATGGGCGAGGAAGATTGTGATGGGAGCACGATGGGGAGCATTCACTCACGCTGAGATCTTGCTGGCAAACTGTGCGGCACCTCTCGTGTCACGCGCGCCGAGAGGACTGCGGTGTGCGAACGTCTTAATCGCACCGAGTTCCGTGAGCCACCACGTGAACCCGAAAGAGCACGTCACATGGGAGAGACCGAGGTACCGCAACTTCTTGCATGAACCTGTATCCACTGCCACATGTCGGCTCACCCCATGTGTTCAAACGAAAGCTGAACACGTGCCTGTATACATACCTATGCTACTAAATGGGCTTGGCGTTGAACGCCACCGAGCAGCGCATGGATCGCGTCGTCTAGATGTTGGCCAGCCCCTGCTTCTCCCTGCGCATGTTCTGCAGGCAGGTGATCTCGGCCTTGAGCTTCTTCAGCGGCGACTCCAGGGCAGGGGTCACGGACGCGATCTTGTCGTCGAAGGTCTCCTCTGCCATCTGGCTCTTCACTTTTGCGATGTCAGTGATCAAAATCTCCTTGATGAATTGGCTCCCCATGGCGGCCGAGACCAGCGCGTTCAGGCTCTCCTGCAGGCCCGACACGCCCTCGGAGTTGTTGGCCCACTTCCACTCGGGCAGCGACTTGATGTTCTCCAGGATGAGGTTCGCTTGGGTCACGATCTGTCCGTACTCCGAGATGGACGTCTGCGCGCATTCCATGTTTGCTTTCTGCGTCTTCTTGAGCTGCTTGATCCTCTCCTTCTCCTGCTCGGCGTCGGTAGTCTTCCCGTCGACGTTACCCGTCTGCGCGGTGCCCGCCTTAGCCTTAGCTTTTCCCCTCGGCATTTTCTTCGCCCTTGGTGTCGGCTGTGGTGGTGTCGCATTCTCGTTGTTGCGCTTCTTCGTCGGGTCTACCACGTTGTCTCCTCCTTCCGGAACTGCTGGAGCCGCTGGAGCCGTTCCACCTCCCGCGATTGTCATTGGAGCAGTTGGAGTCGGTTGGGCCGTTGGAACGGTTGGAATTGCGGCGTTTTTTCCATCATCTCAGTGATCTCGGTGCACTGCTTCTCGAACTTGTATTTGTACCCCGACTTCATGTACAAGTACTCCATACGTTTGCTCTGCCAGTTGTACTTGCACCAATACCCGCCCAATTTGATGCAACTGAGGCAGATATTGAGCGCGGCCTCCGCTCCCGATGACGTGATCCCTGTCCCAGACTCCTTGCCTGCAATGACCTCGAACGGCTCGTAGGTGCCGAAGTCAGCCCAGCTCTCCGCCATATTCTCCACCACAGTGCGCCTCTTCTAGTACTTGACCCACTCCTCGTCGAACCACCTCTTGCGGAAGTCTGCTGTCGCGATGTTCCCTTTGGTGGTCTCGTATTTCTTTCTCTCATCTGGGTCCGCATCCAAGAAGGTCTGGAAGCGGTTGCCCAATGCGCCCCTCGACGGCACGACGCCTGTTGCATGGGCTTCTTCCAGGAATCGGTCTTTCGTCTTGTCATCGTCCTCCGTCTGCTTGTTGAAGTATGCATTCTGGACGGCAGTCAACTTCGCGTCGTTTTGCGCCTGATTGTAGATGTCAGTCAGCTTGGAGATCAGCTGGGGCAAGCTCGCTGGTTCCTTGGGGCGCATGGGGTCATTCGGGAGCTGACTCAAGTTGGCGACCTCGTCCCGCGACGACGCGTCCTGAGACCCCAGCTGTTGGATGCCGATCTCCGCCAGCGGCGCAGCCTGCAGGCCGATCTCCGCCAGCGGCGCAGCCTGCAGACCGATCTCCGCCAGCGGCGCAGCCTGCAAGCCGATCTCCGACAACGACGCCCCCTGCAAGCCGATGGAGCCGAGGTGCGGGGCGGGCGCATCAAGTGGTGGAGGTGCTCCAGGCGGCGCACCGTCCTCGGGCTAAGCGCACGCGCGCCAAACCGACACAACGCACGAAACACAGCTTGAACATCATTGAAACCGATGGCCTCGAAATTTCAAGCTGGCCCAGACGGGGCGCGCGCGTGCGCACGTACGCATGCGCGCGCGTGTGTGTGTGTTGTGTGGGTGTGTGCATGTGTGTGCGCGTGTGTGTGCGTGTGTGCGTGTGTGTGTGTGTGTGTGTGTGTGTGTGTGTGTGTGTGGGTGGGTGGGTGGGTGAGTGCGTGCGTGCGTGCGCGTGCGTGCGTGTGTACGGGCATGCGTTTTCGTGAGTGCGCGTGCGCGCGCGCGCACGTGCGCGCGCGCGTGTGAAAACTAGATGGCACGCAGACCCTCGCCCCCCTCGTAAGGGGGACGAGGGCGGTGATAGAGGATGGCCAGCTTTGAATGCCCAGCTGTCTGGCTGGCGGTCGTGAGGCCACGGCGCCGAGCCCGTCCCCTCGACTGTCATGGGGCCGCCCGTGACGGCGTCGTGCTTGTTGTTGCTGATGTCGCCGTTGCTGTTGCCGATCTCGGCGCCGCCGCCCTTGTCGTTGGAGTCGCGCTTGTCCTCGGCGTCGCCAGCTCCCGCGACGTCGGGGCTGCGACGCTGGTGCTTCGTCTGGGTGAGGGGCGCCTCGTCGCTGTCATCCGCATCGGTTGCGCTCCTCTTGGCACTCGCGGCATTGGCGCCGACGTCCTTGTCACGGGAGTCGTCGCTGTCGGCGATCTCAACCACGGTGTCAGTGCGGCGTGGGTTGTTGATGTCGTCTCCGCTCGAGGCCGCACCAGCGCCGCTGATCGGGCCCTTGGAGCCGTCAGTGCCGTCGCCAGCGCCCTGGTCGACGCCCTTGGTCTCGTCGCCGCCCTGGCGGCTGTCAGGGGGGGCAACAATGTCCGACGAGGGGCAGGGCGAGGAGGAGGAGGGCGAGTGTGATCAGAATTGGTATCAGGATGAAAATGAACTCCCTGGGGCCCCCTCGGATAACCACTGGCGAGGGTATCGACGGCCGGCTTGAACCCGCATGAGGTCATCCAAATCCTCTCTAGAACGCTCGCCCACGGGTAGCCAGATGTAGGTGCGTGCGTGTGTGTGTGTGTGCGTGCGTGCGTGCGTGCGTGTGTGTGTGTGTGTGTGTGTGTGGATGTGGGTGTGTGTGTGTGTGTGCGCGGTGTGTGTGTGTGTGTGTCATGTGTGTGTGCGCGTGCGTGCGTGCGTGCGTGCGTGCGTGCGTGTGTGCGTGTGTGTGCGTGTATGTGTGTGTGTGTGTGTGCGTGTGTGTGTGTGTGTGTGTGTGTGTGCGTGTGTGAGCGTGTGCAGTGTGTGTGTGTGTGGTCGGGGGAGGGGGGGGATGCGTGTGTGCGCGATCTGCGTCGCATGATAGGTGTTGGTGCATGGCGCTGATGTTGCGATGCATGTCGGCATTGCTGCTGCCGTGATGCCAGTGTTTCTTGTGTTACCAGCGAACTTGAGATGCAATGCTTTTCAACGGGATGCAACCGAATTCACTGTTTTTTTAATGCTTGTTCAATGCGTGCGTGTGTCATGCGTTCGCGATGTCGACGTTCAACCGTTCTGGGTGACAGAGGAGGGCCAGGGTGAGGATCAGGAGGGGAAGGATGGTGAGAGATGCGGAGGCGATTGATGAGATGCTGATGCTGATGCTGATGATGCTGGTGATGCTGCTGTTGATGATGTTGCTGTTGATGATGATGCTGATGCTGATGATGATATTGATGATGATGACGATGATGATGATGATGATGATGATGATGACGATGACGATGCTGATGATGATGATGTTGATGCTCATTATTGTTGGCTCTGCCGCCCCCAGGCGGTCTTGAAACCTCATGGGTCTTCCATGAGATGCGAGAGCGCGGCCTCCATCATGGACGCATCTGGGCCGTCCATGTCGCTCGTGGCATTGGCCGTCTCGCCGTCCACCTTCGTGTCTGGCTTGTCCACGTGACGTGTGATCAGTGTCTTGCTGATCGAGTCCTTCTTGATCGGGGTCTTCATGTCGGGGGATGGGCTCCCAGCTGCCTCCGTGTCGGTCTTGTCTGCTGCCATTGGTGTCACCTGCTGCGCTGCCAGCTGCTTGGTCGGGGTTGCCGCTGGCTTCTTCATCGTCTGTGAGTCGGCAGGCCCCTCGTGCATGGAACGCTTGCGCGTGATCTGGCACGCAGCAGCTGGCTTCTTCATCACGGTGCTGCACTGCTTCTTCTTCTTCAGCGGGGCGTCGGTCTCGTCGTCGATGGCCTCGTCTTCCTCGTCAGAGGCTGCGTCGTCAGCTTCGGCATCTGCATCCGCATCCTTGTCCTCGTCATCGCTGTCGTGGTTCTCGCCAGCGACCTTCTCGACGATCTCGGCGTCGTCCTTGGTGTGCATGCCTGGGGGTGAAGCTTCATCAATCCTCCTCATCCTCCGTCTCGTCATTCCTCTCCCCCTCTCCCTTATCCTATCTACCATGTCAGAGCCTATATGTGAACCTCTCTCATCTTCACCATTATTTCCTCACCCTCCTCCTCCTCCTCCTCCTCCTCCTCCTCCTGCATCCTCCATCCTCCTCCTCACCGCTCTCCTCCCAGCCATCTGCCCTCCTCTGCATCCTGCCCTCCTCGGAGAGGAGAGCGGGGTGGGAGTGCGATGTTAGTCCGTCTATGCCTGCAGGCCGCTTGCGAACGACTGCGGCGTGCTTCTTCAGCTCGTTCTGCAGCTCGATCCTGCACTTGTTCGCCTCGGCCTTCGTCTTGATTGTGCCGTCCTTGAACTTCTCGATGATGCGTGTGTGCACGGCTTCGAGCGCTGCCTTCTCAGACTCGAAGTAGCCGCAGCTGATGTTCGTCATCTGCTCCTTGCCCTTGCCCCCCTTGATTGTGCGATGGACCCTGATCAGCTTGTCTGGGCCGCGGTCGGCCATGATGAATGCCTTGACTTTCAGACCGTCGGGAGTGTCTGTCCAATCGTTCATCCTGGACGACTGCGCACGACATTTGTCAACGTCGGTGAACATCTTCTCGAAGACCACTTGTCCTCGCAGTCGTCGTCGTTCTCCCAGTAGGCCGTGTGCTTGCCGTTCTCGTCGGGGCCGTCGATTCTTGAACATTTCTCTGGAGGCCCCGACTTCCTGTTGTTGATCATCGGGATGCGGATCGGGGCCTGGTGTGTGATCTCGTCGTACTTGTACACGTACTTCACGCTCGCGAACATGGGGTCTGATTGCTTCACGCCAATCTTCTCGAGCGGCTCGCTGAACCACTGTGGCCAGGTCTTTCTAGTGAACGTCGTGCTTGCATGCTTGAGCATGGCGCGAATTCTCTCACTCATTTCGATCGACCAGCTCGTCAACACGGCGCCTTGAACGCCTGGCCAGTTCTTGTCGTTCCCTATCAAATAGAGCGCATTCTCGAGGGACTTCTTGCTCAACCACATGTTGGGCGCGACATTCTTCCTGATGCAGTAGACGATGTCGATGTGGGCGGCCATCCTGTCTTTGTCTGGGCCTGATCGAACTCTGCGTTCGTCACGAACGGCGCCAGGTGCTCCTTCATGAGGCTCACGTCCACGCAGGCGTGTGGCGAGTCGGCTGAGACGTCAGATGCCGCTCCATCGGCCATGCTTCCGGCACTGGCCCGCGCGCCCAGCTGGCGCTAGTCGCGCCTCCTAGCCAAAATGGCTACTCATCATGCTGTTGTTTGTTATATTTGAGTGATGCTAAGCATGGATGCCTATCGGAGCCTCTTGGGATATCTCTTGGGCGCTTGGTGGCCGCTTGGGACGTCTTGGGGGTCTCGCTGCGATCCTGGAGGGCTCTTGGGCGTCTTGGGTGCATTGAGGGGGTGGGGGTGGGGGGCGCTTGGGGTCCTCTTGGAAGCCTCCTCGTTGCTTCGTAAGGGGCCTCATGGGGCCATCTTGGGACCATCGCGTGGCCTCTTGGGGCCATGTGCGCCTGTTGGGGCCATTTTGTTCTCGAGATCCTCGTCCTCCTCCTCTCTCCCTCGTCCTCCCTCCCTCCCTCCCTCCCTCCTTTCCATCCCTCCCCCTCTCCTCCTGTTCTGCGTCCTCTTCTGATCTTTGCGTGTGCGCATCCTACTCACCCACATCCTCCTCGTCCGTCTCAGTTTCCTCATCCTCCCCCTCGTGCCCGACCACGCCATCAGTCCATCACCACACGCAAGCGTGAACATCAAAACACGAATTGAACCAACGTTGAAATTCCAGTGAAAACCGTTGAAACTCGTTGAAATACAACGCATCACACAACTAACACACACGAAACACCTCCATACGCTTCGCGTATCCCCACCAGCCCATCCAGCAACGATGTCCAGGCGAGTGAGGTGATCAGGGAAGTACGGGAGCAAAGAGGTGGGCTGCCGAACAGTGCGAAACAGGGAGGATGTTGACACGGGGGAGGCTGGAGGAATGAATGAGGGAGTGGGGAGGAAGAATCTGAATCTGATGATGAGGAGGAGGAGCAGGAGGATGAAGAAGAGAAGTATAATGGTTGCCACCAGCTCTCTGGGCGTAGGTGGTTTAGGGGGCGTCCGCTTCCAAGCCCCCCCATTCTTCCCTTTCGGGGAAGGGTTCACCTCTCCCCTCTCACCCCTCTCCTGGACCTGAACGGTGGGGGGAATTCGTCGACCTTGACCTCTTGAGAAGAATGGGGGGGGGGGATTAGGACGAGGAGGAGGCGAACAAGGAGGGCGAGGCGAGGAAGGTTGCGGATGCCCCGTGTCCTTGAGGTCCGCCGCCTGGAGGTCCGCCGCCGAGACGCCGGCTGCAGCCAGCACCTGGGCAGCAATTGGAAACATACGGTGGCACGGGATATCCCGTGCCACCGTATGTGTCCCGTCGAGGGTGTATTGCAGCATCGATGACGCTCCTCGTCCTCCTCCTCCTCCTCCTCCTCCTCCTCCTCCTCCCTATACTTTCTCTTCCCGTCCCCAACCTGCGCCATGTCGGCTGCTTGCCCGCGCAGCCGAGCTGCCTGGGGAGGGGGTCGAGGGAGTGAGTCGATCGATCGATCGATCGATCGACTCTCTCGATGAATCAATTTATTTTTGTTGATACCTAAATACAAACATACTAGTATCTAACATACACATATGTAGATCAACAAACATAATTTTATTCATCGAGAGAGCTGATCGATCGATCGATCGATCCACTCCCTCGATCCTGCCTCCATGAGGCCGCGCCAGCACTCGCTGCTCAGGTGGAGGCCCTCGGCGTATGTGTGACCAGGGGCCAGCTGCTGCACGTACGGCACCGTGTCGTCCCACGTGGGAGTCGGTGCCGCCGTGGACGCACTACTGAGCTGGTGCTGCTGCTGCTTCTGCTTCTGCTGCTGCTGCTGCTGCTTCTGCTGTGGCTGCTTCTGCTGCTGCTGCTGCTGCTGCTTCTGCTGCTGGTCGTGCATGAGCTGGTCGAGCATCGCGCAGCACAAGGGCGCGCCGAGGCCCACCCACGACGGTAAGGCGCAGCACCAGGGCAATCGAACACAAACGGCCACCGAAGGAGGGAGGGGGGGGGAATAATCGACACGTCTGTATATAACCAACATGCACAGTGTATATTCGACACGCATAGATGTTTCCACGCATATTCAACACTTGATATCGTATGTAATGATATACATAGTTGTACGTCAACATGTAGTTTTTTATGTTGCATAATCGCGCGTGTAGTGATTCAGCCCGGGAGACCCTCAGGGGAGTCGTTTTTTGACGGTCCCGGGGCCCAGCGAGGGCCTCTAGGGGTCGAAAATAGCGAAAACCTTCCCGTCCTGATTTTTTTGCAACTCCATCATGTCTGGGTCTGCAGCAGATCCCAAGCCGGAAAAATGATCCGTGGCAGTCCTGGCGCCCGGAATCCAGGGGAGCAGCCACACCAAAGAAGGAGACGCACAACAGCGGGGGCGCCGCGAGCAGGTCGAGCGCGCGACTCTGCCGAGGCCGGGCCCCCCACAGGAGGTCGAGCGCAGCTTGTGGCGACGGCAGGGCACGGCGTGCTGGGGCCGCCTCTGCGCGCCACGGCACAGCTGCACCGTGGCGGCAGCCTCGGCCCCCCCCGCGCGGCGGCCCGCTCGCCCGCGCCGCGCCGGCCGCTCTCCCCGCTCTGCCTCGGCGATCGAGCAGTGGCGAAGCGTCCTGGCTCGCCTATAGCCCTGCCACGCAGTGCTCTGGGAGCCTTTTGTGGTTGCCACGAGATGTTCTCAGAGGAGTTCAGGCTGGAGGCTCGGGAGCTAGTGGTCAGGTCGGCGTGGGGTTCACTGGACGCGGATTACTTCTCCTTCAAGACTGGCGGGGACCCCAGCATGATCGTAGACCGTTTCCGGGCAGCTCTGGCAGGCGTCGGGGGCGGCCAAGAGGGGGGGTGATGAGCAGGGGGGGTGGATGTCATGGCTTGGGCTATGATGCCCCCCCGGATTTCTTCATGGTCCCTCTTCGTTTGTTCCCCATATCCGAAGGATGGGGTTCATATGATTCCCCACAACCAAAGGATGGGGTTCATGCTATTACTTTGACCGCGCGGACCTCTTGGCCTCGTCCCCCTCTCCCCCATCCCACCCAGAGTATGATGATGCATATGCAGAGTATGATGATGCCGGATGATGACGATAAGAGTAGTATGATGACGGCGATGATGATGCAGATGATGAGTGATGCTGGCGATACATGATGTCTCGTGCGAGGCGCTGGTTTTCGCACCCCAGAGGGCCTAGATGGCGAGGATGTCTCGAGCGGTTTGCTTGTTTGGGGGGCCAGGCTCATCTGCGCTCAGAGCAGATTATGAGGATTTCTCTAGCTGTCCCTGTCTTCTCCAGGCAGTCTAGTTTGTAATATCTCTAACAGCGGATCTTCACCTCCCCACGTTCGCTTTCCGTAACCTGTTAGGCTTTCAGGGCTCATGAATGTGAGTATGCTGTTCTGTCGTGTATACCGAATGATATCGTCCCCGACTTCCTCTCCCCCACAGAGATCAGCTATGCCGTCTGATGGTCTACCAGCTTCCGACGTTTGGGGTTCGAGGGTCTGACAGTGGTAGCGGAGCAGTGGTGAGGCAGACGGTCGGGAGAGGCGACAATCTTACGCAGTTCGCATGACGGACGGTGACACACAGACAGAGAGCCATGACGACGACGCACAAAAAGACTAGCAATGGGAAGCTGGTAATGACTCGTGGTGGTCGTCGCTGTGGAACAAGTCTTGGTGAAATGGCTCCTGGAGGGGCTCAGAGTCGTGCGGAGACTCGTGGAAGAGTATAGAGCACGAGCCGCAAAACCGAGACTACGGACCATCGCCCGCGTTCCTAGGATTGGAGAACCTCCATCTGTACAGGGCCAACTTGTCAGCGTGGGCAAGCATAACAGCGTTCAAGAAGGAGCAGCAATCCAATCGTGTGTCAGAAACCTTCCCGATAGAGTTACAGGCGAAATTCCAACCCGTGTTGTTCGATTTAGGCAGAAGCAATGGACTAGAGTACCTTTGAAAACACGTGGGCGTGCTCAAGGGAAAGAGGCCAGGAGACGCGAAGAGAGAAGCCGATAACAAATGTTGATTCAACTATTTCGCCCATCGCAATGACTCGATCACGGATTTTGATGTGAGAAGAGATTCGCAGATAGCAGAAGCTGAGCGCTGCGGCCTCAGTCTACTGGACTCAGCGCTCGCCAAGTATCACGAGGAGGGCGTTCAGCTCACAGTTCAAAACAGAATAAACATGCGCACTCTGGCTGCAGGTCTTGATGACAGCCAATCCATCAGGTCCGCTTTTCTCAAGCTGGACATCAGAATGGCCACAGAATTTCCCTCACCTCCGGCAGCCGTCTTGAAGAATTTCTCGGCCAACGATAACGAATGTGCAGCGTGTGGCCAGCCCGCATCATACGAGGATCACGAGTGGATAACTTGCGTCGAGTATGACGGCATCAACTTCCCCGAGGGTGAAGCTGAGCAGGTCTTCGCTGCTTTCGTCGGTCAAGACATGTCGGAGTCAGAGGTTATTTACGTTTTCAGTGCCACAGTAGGAAACAAGCTCGGGCTGGAGAAGAAACGAATTTGGCAGGAATCAAAGGGACTCAAGCAGGCCAGAAGGATAGATCGACACTTCTTCGACCGCAAGAAGCTGGGCAACAGTCAGCCTGTCAAACCTGGATTCCGACGAAATTCTATCAAGGAGCTCAAACGACGATAGAGATGCACCAACTTCGATCAGAAGGGACATTGATAGGACGAGTGCAGAAATCCGTACAAACCACGATCGGACCGACCACGAGACGGCGATAAGAAAGATCTCAAGAGCAACCAGCAGGGCAGATCCAGCGGCAGCGGCAGTGGCTACCTCTTCAACTTGGGAAACGAGCGCGACAGCAACGCTTCGTGGCTGACGATCTCGGAGGTGGCGTCGGACAGTCTCAGCTTTCTGAGGACCCAGGGCGCCTTCACAGGAGTGACGCTCTCAGGCAATGGGCCCCCGCGCGTTGGTGGATGGTCCAAGCCTCTTTCTGTT